TGCGTCGGTGTTGGCCTCGTGAGCGCTTGGTCCATCGTCCTCCGTCACGCCCAGAATTGTTCCCTGCCCGCGTTGTCCGATGTCGCGTCCATCCCCGGATAAGAAGGTCCTTAACACAACATAGGGGGCCGTTAAATATATGTGACGTTTGACTGATCAGTCGGTCGACATCCTGGCCTTTTTAATCTGCCTTGACGTGCGATAATCACCTCGGCCCACGATTTCAACCGCGTCAAAGTTGAAGTCGTGTCCCATCGCTGCAGCATGGGTGGCTACCTCCGACTTAGGGTCCAACATCCTCACATAATAAGTTACCTTCTTTTAAGTGGTATATATATATGGATTTTTAGCTGACGAATTGCTATGAATAGTAACTACTTCCAATATTTTTTTCCCAAGGAAATTGGAGAGCTTTGCTTAATTTTTAAGATATCTGACGATGAACGATTCAATCGGAAAAGGAGTGAAAATTTTTTATTCCTTATAAAAGACTATTCTCCGCATAAGAGGATTAATTCCAGGATCTGTTTTAAGCTTGCAAATGCGAAAAGGGGTGGCCATAAATTTGAGCATTTTTGAAATACTTATTACTATTCTTTTGTCTGCTACGCTGCTAACTGATGCATGAGCGGAACGTGTTATTTACAAAAAGTCTATTTCTACCCGAATTACATTTAGAAAGGTCTCATTGACATCAGCTTCACGTTAAAATATAAGGTAACGTTTGCTTATTCGCTCATAGTTATCGGGTAATGAAACAGTTTTGTCATGTGACTGCACTTTATTGCACAAAACGTAATGCAATGGTAAAAACAATTTAAAAAAATTAAATTGCTACGTGCCTCTAAAAATGAATGTGATCCCTTAAATTTGGCTTCACTTCCAATTGAGCAAATTCGGACATTTTTTTCCTGTTCTAATAGGGATAATTTGTCCACCTTTTTACTTATTCTGAAATGCTTCATAGCACAATGCATATTAATAACAACTTTGGCCATTCTCATACATTAAAACATAGAATTTTTTTTGATACAACCTTAACCATAATTTAGCCAAAATAAATGCCTATTTCACCCCTAACTTCGAATAAGAGCGCAGTTTTGCAAATGAAAGCTTTATTATTATTTAATCTACGCAGTTGTGCAAAATAACCTGCCAAAATATATGCTAAACTACCAAATTAAATTTCGTCATGTAATGTGCATGCACGACTTGTCATACTGTACATATCCTCTTTATCTTTGTGAGCATCATCATGATGCTCATTTTCACCTTAATTTGGTTCTTATCCTGTTTCCTATACCGCCATCAACACAGGCCTCGTTCTAGTCCACCGGTCTGTCAACTTGAAAGCCCCTTAACCTATTTTTTTCGCCGCCAAAGACCGCAAATTTCAGCGTCCCATGTTATTTTACCTTCGAAAAGAACGAAAATCCTCGCTGGTTGCCGAAGACAATATCCAATGCCGCGCCTATCGATATACCCTCAGGGAAACTACCCTCAAATCTTAGACCCAACGGGTTATAAGCTTCAGTCTAAGTAGCAAGAACTTAAAACAAGCCTTAATGCAGTAGCATTTCATGTGCTAATCCTCGTCTCTCCTTTTTCAAACACACATTACGGTCTATCTTCTCATGTGATCCGTGTTTAATAAGGTCACGGTGATAAATAAATCAGAGCTTATTCCTTTCCGAATCGTTCGACATCAACTTTATTGACTTGATTTACCAGCCAAAGAAAGTGGTGATGGAAGTACAGTATCATACAAATGGTGTCATCTATAAGCGATAAATGATGTACTTTAATGACGTACTTCTCTTATGCACTTATATACCCACTCATCATCTGGCGTTGATGTAGGCACAATATACCGATATGTTCGTGCGTCGGTGTTTGCTGATTGGATGAATCGTGTGCCCAGCGTAATGTAATCCTTATATCAGCGATGCATTCGTGTTCCAAGGTTTCCTGATAAGTGCCAGTATAGCAATGTGTTGACTTTTGGTCGAATTGGTACTAAAAACGGTCCCACGGTCAGTGGAATATTTGTGCAGCCGACTAACTTCATTTAAACATTTTTTTAAATACGCATTTCTTGACGATGTTAATCCTGTTTATATTTTAAAAAAACTCACAGGTGCTGTTCACAGGTTGGCTATCAGGGACCTGGCTTTGTACACTCCGTTTCGGTCGGCAAGGGTTGCAATACCTTGGGCATAATCCTCCACGAAATTGGACACACAATTGGATTTTGGCATGAACAGAGTCGACCAGATCGAGATAGTGAGTTTTTGGTTAAAAAGTCGGTCAATTTTAGTTTTCTGATAAAGCAATCACTGAACATTCACTTAAAATATACTAAACTTATCTACGACAGACACCTAGCCTGGTTCCTCAAATCAAATGCTTTACGAACGGGAACTCAGGAATCTCACAAAGGCTACCGACCGGCAGCCAGATGGTTATTTAGCACGCTGGCCTGCACTCATGAAATTAATTCAGTCTACAGTAAAACTGCAACAGTTATGGCTCACACAGAAGTTGCTAATGATGATAAATAAGACCACTCCATACTTTGAAATATGGAGTACGTCCTAGAATTCCTGTAACATGTCGACATATGCGAGAGATTTATACGCAGTCGATAATCGGCATCGATTAATGTTGTAATTATGATTATCATGTAGCCTATTTTTTATGTCATTTCAGTCATAGTAGGATGTCTGTTCTTTAACGAGCTTACATTTGACCGCCTACAAAACGTATATGCTGTAACAAGTAACTGCTTAAATAGTATGCATTTTTATCATTGATTTTGACTGCCTTTATAAATT